CCGGTGGTGACCCCGATTCCCCAAAGAAATGATTCTGGGTCACCACCGGGTTTGGGGACACGCGGTCGCCACGAGGTTTTGCGTTTCCTGGGCCAGCCAGCGCTCGAAAACCATGACCCAAATCGCCCCAAACTCACCACCGGGTGTTCTCACCACCACGTTTGGGGACCACCAAGAGAAAAGTATGGGCGTAAGCTCTCGGAGGTCCTTTTTTGATTCGCGGCCCGCAAGGAGAAGCCCAGAGGGCGGTATGACCGAGGCTGGGGCACAGCGACAGATAATTGGCGCGACACCGCGCAGAGTGCACCTGCAGATAATTAGAAAGAGGCGGCCACGGTTCAGCCCGCGGGTGGGGGCCTCTCGGAGGTCCGCGGAGAGTCGTGGGGGTCGGCGCGGGGGTCCGACTGGCGGCGCCGGCTTCGCCCCTGGCGCGCCCCGCGCGCCAGGGAGGGGGGGGGGTCCCAGCGCCAACCTCCAAGCAGTCGTGTTGAGGAGGAGGAGGAGGAGTAGGAGGAGGAGGAGGACCTCCAAACAGTTGTGCTCATGCCGGCTGTTGTTCCTGGCCCAGTCTCGGTTCGTTCGCGGCTGTGTCGACGGGGTTGGTTGGTTGATTGGTTCACTGGCTTGGAGGTTGGGACCTCGGCCGTTTGGCCGGCAGGCTGTCTGGATGGACTGCTGGCAGGTTGGCTACGTAACTGGCTGGCTGGTGGCTTGTTCGCAGGTTGCTGGCTGGTCGGCGGAGATGCTGGGCGGCCAGCAAGCTCAAAAGGCGGACCCGTTTGATTCCCCCATATTTTGAATTAGCCGTTTTGTATCAGTCCAATGTCCGCTCCCCTTCTCCATCGCACCTCCGTCCTCTCCTCCACAGCCACATCCATTTACAATCATACTCACTCGCACTCCGACTCAGACTCACGCCGAATCGCTCGCACCCAGACGGACTCGTACTCTGATTCTCTCGCTCTCTGCCCAGACCACACCGCGAGATACATGATCATCACCTCAATTCCGCACTTCCCTTCCAACCATACTCACATTTGTTGTGCATGATCGTACGCAGACTCACTCGTCGCCAGGCTCGGAGTTCCGAAGGCCCACTGGCTCTGAGACTCACTCACCCTCAGACTCGCTACACTCAGGCTCGCTCACACTCAGACCCATTCACGTTCATGTTCACCCCATATGAAGGGTCATCATTCGTCAAACTCATATGTGATGGTTTTCTTATTCATTGTTTTGCAGATCGGCGCGGGCCCTCGCACCCCCACTCTCCCCCCCCCAATGATCCTGGCTGTGCCTGGCGCCTTTCGAACAGGCGGAGTCTCCTCCATAAGGGCGCACTGTTGCAACCAGCCGCGTCAAGCGGAGGTCTGGAGCCAGCCCCCCCCCCTCCCCCCCACTCCTTCCGCCCGGTGTCGAAACGCCGAAGACAAAAGCCTCACTATTCGGACCCACTCGCACCTCTCACCCTGTAGCTAGATGCGCTCATCATCCTCAGGCCCACGATCCAGTCGGGCCTGTCCCCTTACAGGGGGATGTTCGACGCAAAATGAAAAGTACACCAAAAATAAACAGAAAAATCAAAAAATAGTCTGGGGACTATTGTTTGAGTATTGTTTGACATGTTTGGGGTATGTTTGGGTTTTTTTATTTTCCGTCGAAAATCCCCCTGCAGGGGGACAGGCCCGACATAATCCTACGAGCGGGCGGCCCTGCCGCGAGGGGGTGCGCACGTGTCCCTCCCCGGGGGCCTACGATCACCGCGAAGTGGCAGGCATCGCGCCTTGGCCTCCATGGGGAGGGGCCTCCAGGGGGTATATCACGGTTGGTGGGGCCTTCGGGTCGAGTTCTTGGTTTAGAGAGTCAGTCCATTTTCTTTTCGGAACCCACTGATCACCGCGATGTCGCAGGCATGGCATTGGCCTCCCCACGGGAGCCGTCAGGACGTAAATCACGGGCCCTCTCTCGCGCCCGTACAGGTGGGCCCCTCGGACATAATAGAATGGCCATTTGGGGACGTGCGCGGGCCTTTTTGTCTATAGCTCGGTGATCATCCCCGATGCGTCAGGCATGGCGCTTTGGCCTTCCAAATGAGAGCAACCAGGGGTAGATCATGGGTCCAGTCGAGCGCTCACGAGTGGGACCACTCACCCAGAATTGCAGTTTTGGGGCGTACGCGAACTTCTTGCCATGGCCCCCTGATCTTCGCGACGTGGCAGGCATGGCGCGTTGACCTCTTAAAGGGGGCTCCTCGCTCCTCCCTCGGTTCCCTCCCGTTTCCTCTCTCCTCCTTCCCCTCCCTTTTCTCCCTCCACTCCCTCCCCCTCCCCCTCCCTTCTCCCCTCCTACTCCCTCCCTTCCACCTCTTGTCCCTTCCCTCCCTCCCTCTTTTTTCCCTGTGCCCCTGTCTCCTTCCTCCCCGCTTCCTCTTCCCCCTCTTCTTCCACTCTCATTCCTTCTCCCGCTTGGTCCCAGGGCTGACAGATCGGAATGTTTCGCCAAGATGCTGCTTGCTCTCAGCCGCGCGAGTGGAATCTGCACCGCGGTCCACGTATGGAGCCTCTCGGCCCCTGCTTGGCATCGCTCGGAGGTGTGCGTTTTTCCTTCGGCGAGGGCCCTCGAGGAGCATCCTTGACAATTTTGGTGAAAACAGCGCACGGCAACGAACAAAACACACAAAACAACGGACGTCCGAGCGATGGCGAGCCCCAGTGGTGGCCTGCCCTCGCCCTCTCCGAGGCCGTGGTCGTGGCGCTGGCGGACACGCAGAAGAACAGCCTCGTCGAGGAGGGGTCCCTGGACCCGGTGGCGGTGCACGCCGTGCTGCGCCTGGGGGCCCTGGACGAGAAGTCCCAGGAGCTCACGGAGAGGCAGACTGTGGAGGAGGAGGAGGACGAGGACGAGGACGAGGACGGGAAACGAAGAGGAGGAGGAGGAGGAGGAGGAGGAGGAGGAGGAGGAGGAGGAGGACGAGACGAGGACGAGGACGAGGAACGAGAGGAGGAGGAGGAGGAGGAGGAGGAGGAGGAGGAGGAGGAGGAGGAGGAGGAGGAGTGAGGGAACGAGCAGCAGGTCGATCGGTGGAGAAAGGCCAGGATGAGGACGACGGCGACGATAACGGTTCTGCGGCCGAGGGCGAGGACAAGGGCTGGCACCAGGACAGTGGCCAGGGCGAAGACGAAGACGAATAGGGGGGGACGGATAAAGAGGAGGAGGAGGAGGAGGAGGAGGAGGAAGGAGGAGGAGCAGGAGGACCTTCCCATCCCTCTTCCACCCTCGCGTCCTCCCTGCTCCATCCTCAATTCTCCATTTCCACGATTCTGTCTCCCCTCCTTCTTTTTTCGTCTCTTCCTCTGTTGCCCGTCCTTCTCTGTGATCCTCCCCCTTCCCCCCTTGCGGTCAGGAACTTTGGCTTAGCGTGTCGTATCGCGGGTTCTGCCCCTCAACGTTTCGGCGCGACACGCTATCCACTTCCCAGTCTCCCAGCCTCAACGTCCCGAGTTGTTCCCAGCCTCCCGCCCTGCGGAGCGGAGTGACACGCTATCCGATTGAATGGTAGCATGTCGCCGGGGCATCTGCAGCGAGACGCTGAGCAAGAGTTCCGGACCGTATTCCGCCTTCCTCTCACCCGCCTTCCTCCCCTTTCGCCCTCTTTCTCCTCATGCGCCTACTCCTCCTCCTCCTCCTCCTCCTCCTCCTCCTCCTCCTCCTCCTCCTGGTCTTTCTCCTCCTCCTCATTTCCTGTTCCTCTCACCCGCCTTCCTCCCCTTTCGCCCTCGTTCTCCTCATGCGCCTGCTCCTCCTCCTGCTTCTCCTCCTCCTGGTCCTTCTGCTCTCACCGCTACCTCTCTCATCCTGCAGTCCCGTCACCCCCACGTCTCCCCTCGCCAGCCATATTTGTTCATCCGTCTACTACTACTACTACTACTACTACTACTACTACTACTACTACTACTACTACTACTACTACTACTACTACTACTACTACTACTACTACTACTACTACTACTACTACTACTACTACTACTACTACTACTACTACTACTACTACTACTACTACTACTACTACTACTACTACTACTACTACTACTACTACTACTACTACTACTACTACTACTACTACTACTACTACTACTACTACTACTACTACTACTACTACTACTACTACTACTACTACTACTACTACTACTACTACTACTACTACTACTACTACTACTACTACTACTACTACTACTACTACTACTACTACTACTACTACTACTAACTACTAACTACTACTACTACTACTACTACTACTACTACTACTACTACTACTACTACTACTACTACTACTACTACTACTACTACTACTACTACTACTACTACTACTACTACTACTACTACTACTACTACTACTACTACTACTACTACTACTACTACTACTACGACTACTACGACTACTACGACTACGACTACGACTACGACTACGACTACGCTACCATTACAACAACAACAACTACTACTACTACTACTAATACAACTGCTGCTTCTGCTGCTACTGCTACTACTACTACTACTACTACTACTACTACCACTACTACTACTACTACTACTACTACTACGACCACGACCACTACTACTACTACTACTACTACTACTACTACTACTACTACTACTACTACTACTACTACTACTACTACTACTACTACTACTACTACGACTACTACGACTACGACTACGACTACGACTACTTCTGCTACCACTACAACAACAACAACTACGACTACTACTACTACTACTACTACTGCTACTACTAATACAACTGCTGCTGCTGCTGCTGCTGCTACTGCTACTACTACTACTACTACTACTACTACTACTACTACTACTACTACTCCGCCTCCTCGATTCTGCCAGAGCCCTTCTGGCAAGTTTCAAATGAAGTTTCCTGGAAGTGCCCCTTTGTGCCTTCACAACCTCCTGCTCCTCCCCCCCAGTTCCCCCGACCGCCCGTCCCCTCACCGCATCCGTTTCTCCATGTCAGGAGTCAAGAAGTATGTCCATTCCATGGCATGAACACCTGTATATCTATTTAAACAAGTACATGCACATGTACACCGAGAGAAAGGAAGATTTCCCACACCGTGCTTGCACCGACGGGCTTCTCATTTCTGTTCTAAGGAACTGGGCCGTGTCTTCGGTCTGGCGGCTATGTGGCCGCCATCGCTCCCCCCGTCGCCGCCTCGTCGCCGCCCGTCGTCTGAGCCGTGCCATCGGTTTTTTCTCGTTTTTTTTTCCGTGAGCCGTGTCATCGGTCTGGCGGCTACGATGCCGCCGTCGCAGCCCCGTTGCCGCCTCGTCGTCGCCCGCCGTCTGGGCCGTGTCCTTGTTCTGGTGGCTGCGTGGCCGCCGTCGCCTCCCCGTCGCCGCCTCGTCGCCGCCCGTCGTCTGGGCATGTCTGCCATTCCGGCGACTGTATAGCAGCGGTCGCCGCCCAGTCGCCGCCTCGTCGCCGCCCCAGGCTCTTGTTTCTAAGAAAATGTTAGGATCTACCTCCCCCCCCGGATTAAACCGCCCCCCTCACATATTGCAAATTGCATATGATGCATCCCCATCGTCCATCTGAACCATGAACTCATACCATCTCAGCCAGCACGGAAACGACCATGGGACGAAGTGCACTCGCGCGCGTCGTCGCGCGCGAATTTCGAACGTGTTCGAAATCTTTGGTCGTCGCAGGGGCTCCAAAATCGAGAGTCTCGATTAGCAACGTGGCCTTTCGCGCGCGCATGTCGACATGATTCGAAAACTCTTGCGCGCGTGCTGGGGCGGGGGGCACAATCACTTCCAAACAACACCATGCGGGCCATTCGCGCCCGTCGGTACTGCGCGCGTGGCGAAATCCTTCCAAAACCTTCATCACCGACGCGTGGACATCATCATCGTCCTCGGCGTGGCCAGCATCGGCGCCGTCATTTGCCTCGTCGTCGTCATCGTCAGAGTCGCCATCAGCACAGTCATTATCGTGTCTGTCGTCGTCGACGTCGCCATGATACAGCGCCCGCCCGAGCCAACGACCCGCATTGAAATGCCCGCGCGTCAGCGCTGCTGCGAGTCACGTTGGGAAGTCGGCCAGCGCCACCGCGGCCGCGTCGGTCGCGCCACCGCGGCCGCGCCTCTGCGCGCGAGCTCAGCGCGCTTGCGCAGCTGCAGCGACGCGCCAGCCAGCCTCAAGCAGTCATCGCAATCGCCGCCGCACGGGTTCTGCATAATAAGTTGCTTGCGGGTGGGAGGGTGGGGCGAACGCGCGGGCAGTGGAGTTGACGATTTCGGGTTCGGCACAGCGAGCTGCACCACATAGATTGCACCGCGTAGATTCTCCTTTCTAAAAACAGAACAGGATCTACCCCCCCCCGGCGTTATCAATACCCCTTTCGGGTATGTAAATCATATATGATTCTGACCACCTGTCCATCCTAAGCATGAATGTGCACTATCCCAGGCCGGCCGGTACCCCCCCCTGAGGTTCCCTGGTGAGAACACTATGCGGTGACATTTTTTGTTTGAACATAACATTTTGTCACGAATCCCTTGTAAAACATGGGACGAAATGCGCACGCGCGCGTCGTCGCGCGCGCATGCCGGAGTCCTTCAAAAACTTTCGTTGCCAGAAGGATTTCGCAATCGCGTTTCTAAAAAACATAAAAAAGCACAAGGGTTTCGCAGCACTGATTTGCTAAAAAAGCTTACGCGCGAAATCTTAAGAATACCATGAGTTTTTCAAGATTTCCACACAATGCACTCGAACGGGCTTCGCGCGCGCGCATGTCGAAGTCTGTCGAACGCCCTTGCGCGTGTGCCGTCGCGAGAACCTTCTGCAAAAAACGGGACGAAGTGCAGACGCGCGCGTCGTCGCGCGCGTACGCCGAAAATCTTCAAAACCCATCGGTTTCGGAAGGGTTTCTAAATCGCGTGTCCAAAAAACCTACAAACATACAAGGTTTCGCAACACGGATTTTCAACAAAAGCGTGCGCGCGCGTTCTTGCGGTGTCGTCGTCGTCGTCGTCGTCGTCGCCGTCCTCCCTCCTCGCGCGTCGTCGTCGTCGTCGCCTACGTCGTCCTGTGTCTTTCCTCCTGTTCGTCGTCGTCGTCCTCTTTGGCGTCTTGGTCGTTTCCGTCGTCGTTGTCGCCGTGGTCGTCCTTCCTCCTCCTCCCTCGTCGTCGTCGTCGTCGTCCGTCGTCGGCGTCTCGTCGTCGTTCTTTCTATTTCGTCGCCGTCGTCGTCGTCTTTTTCGTTTCGTCGTCGTCTTCCCCACTCCCTCGTCGTTGTCGTCGTCGGCGTCGCTATCCTCCCTCCTTATTCGTCTTTTGCGTCGTCGCCGTCTTCCCTCCTCCCTCGTTGTCGTCGTTGTCGTCGTTGTCGTCGTTGTCGCCATCGTCGTCCTCCCTCCTCCGTCGTCGTCGTCTTCGTTGGCGACGTCGTCGTCTTCGTCGTCGTCGTCGTCGGCGTCGGCGTCGTCGTCGTCGTCGTCGTCGACGTCGGCGTCGGCGCTGCCAAGTGCCATTCGGTACCCACCGTCACGGTCTCAAGAGGTATTGCGACCAAGTTGCGGCTGGGACGGTGGGATGTTTGCACGAGCAGTGGATGGGACAGCTTCAAGTTGAGCAGGTGATGATACGCAAACCATAGGTTGCATCACATAGATATCCCCACATACATGACCCAACGTAGATTGCACAATAAATTGTTCAGCGCATAAAATGGGCAATGCTGATAGCTCCACAACTCATGGCTCATCGTAGGTTGCACCACATGGACAGCATCTCACCGATATACCACATTCACTGTACCACATACGTTGCACAACTTAGGTTGTA